TACAATACAACTGACCTTGAAAGGTAGTATCTGACATAGATACTACCCACACATCATGATAGACAGTACGTATGAAAGCCGTTTGGAAGAGGAAAAGTCATGTTAGCTGCAGTAATAGTACAAGAGCATAGATGTTTGCTGCATCTTGCTAACAGCACTTCCTATTTCTATAGCATTTCAGAGTTCTTGAAACATTTTTTTTTCATATTTTTTTTAGGAAAGGGTCTACAGGGTGTTCAGGGTCTCACTACTAGATTGGACTTGTAGTGATTCTCCTGTTTACAGCCTCCCAAGTGCTGGGATTACAGGCGTGCGCCACCATGCCCATCTCAATTGCCAGTCTCAGCAAGCCCTGGGGGCGGGGCTAGCACTGCAGGCCCTGGGATTTAACCCCTGGCCCCTGTGCCTGCTTGCAGGCACTTTAATCTGCTGAGCTATTTGGCCAGCCTTTCCAAAATACTTTCAGTGTATCTGATTTCACTCTCTTTACAGTGAGTGGTAGGCCAGATGTTATGAAATGAGGTAAAATATATTAAATATTTAGAATAGTGTTATCAGCAAGTGTTCACTATTTTTTATTACACTTATAATTAGCCTTCCCATTTTTTGAGACAAGGGCACACTAAGTCACCAAGACTGGCCCCAGAATTCTAGACTCACACCATCTTCCCAGCTCCACCTCCTCAGGAGCTGGGACTGTAGACATGCTCCGCTGAGTGTGGCCTTGAGAAAGCTGATGTGAGGAAACAGGCTCAGAGGCAGTTACTTGCCCAAAGTCACATGATTGAGAAGTGGTACAAGTTGTCTGAATTCAGTTCCCTGGCTACTATTTCTAGAACTTTTCCTCTGTTATCCCACAGGTAACAGGGACCTCTTACCTGGTCTTGCCTAGGCTGCACCACATTTTCAGATGGTGTCAGCATAGGAATCTTTGGAATTGTGCTCATCAGCCTCATAAGCCCTAGTTGGGAAGTGGATGGGACATCACGAAGGCATCCTCTTCCTTGGTTTATTGGAGTTAAATCTAAAGACTCTACTCATTTTAGCAGTAAGGAGAGATGGTTCATTACCTGGTCCATCAAGGAAGCTGTAAGCCATTAAGCTCACATAGATCTCAGCTGCTAGGCTTGTTAAGAAAATGTTACAATAGGGGGAAATTGACAATGCAGGCACCACAGATATTTTTAGTCTGCACTTCAAGGATGTACATCTTGGATTCTGTTTAGGATTGAAGCAGGGAATGAGTTTGGATTTATTTAACACTTCCAACCAGAAAGTTCCTACCGAGGCTCTATTCTGTTCCTATCTTATTCGTGGGGCCACATGGGGAAACTGAGAGAAGTAAAATGACATTCACAAGATGTCACACCCATATGAGTGATGTCATATTTTTCTTGAATAGGTAATTTGATAATTTAGTTAAAAACTGTAGATGTGTCTTTTCCTTATTTATTTATTTATTGACATCAGTGATTTTTATTTTAAAGAAAAAAAATTAAAACAATGGTACAAAATCTCAAAACAAGAATTTTAGGAGAGTAACAATGGTTAGTACATTGTGTATTGTTACTGCCAAAGTAGTTTCTCA